GAATATGAATAGTAGAAAAAACGAAGTAATATAAATGTGATGTATATTTGATTGGCATAGATGTTTTAGGGGTGGGAAAGAATTCTTGTCCCGTTGTCCCATTTCGATATATCTCGGAACCGTACTGGTGTTGCCCCGTTCTGTTTGGGAGCCGTTCATTTTGCCCCGCACTGGTCCCGTACCGGTTTAAAATGGGACATGATTGGGAATGGATAGTGAAACATTATCCCGAAGCGTCTCATTATCCCGTTTAATTTGTAATTACTGTATAGTTTTTAGCCTATTGATGGAGTATATGGCCCGAGGACCCCCGACCCACAGACTCCTACTTCTCCAACACAGGCCCAATAAGCCCAATAAGCACATGAGGCCCAGATACAGCAGTCCAAGCCTAAAGGGACCGACTATGTACATAAGAATGCCTTCGGCCTCCTTGGCCGAGGGCTCTGAACTTCAGGAGACGGCTGGTTTTGAACACACTAAGCTATTGGGAGAAACTGGCAGAAAACAGTAGCCTTCGGCTACTGGGTGCGCTCGGCACACACCTAGCCTTCGGCCATAAGCTATAGGCCGGAAGGTCTGCGCCTTACGAAGCTTCCTCCTCAGGAGACAAGCAACCACCGCATTCAATGTGGCGTCACGTCCAAGCACCGCATTTAATGCGGTGCACATGCAATTGTCGGTGCCCCCCGATTGAGATGACCTTCAGCCGTCGGATGTTTGACATGTGTACGCGCTTAGCATTTATGGCTGCTATAAATAGCAGCCCTTATTCCTCTTGTAAAGGATCTCAGATCAGAATTCATTAATATATCAGACTCTCTCTCTCTCTTACTTATTGCTCTGACTTCTCTCTAGGTTATTCCCCGTAATAACCCCTCGGATAAGCTACCCCCGGGTACACTATCTATCACCTGTGATTAGTTTGTAGCGCCAGCTCTAAAAATAAATGACAATATGTTTTTAGTCTTTCAACCCAAATTTTTAAATTAAAAATAATACCTAACATAAATATTTACTATCTTAGGTTTTATCTCACTCCATGTATTTGCATATGAGTATTTCGCAACTAGAACACATAATTTTGAATAAATTAATTCATTTTTACTTTGTGTTAAATTTTAAAATCTAAACCTAATTAAAATCTAAAGATAGATTTTAGGTTTTTGTAAATACATAACTTGATTTAAACATCAGTTGGATTATAAAATGTTAATTTTTTGGTGCATGATACTTTTTTTGGAAAGAAAAAAAAACTATTGATTAATAATAAAAATGATCCATACAAAAGTAATTTTGATAGCCTAAGGCTACAATGGGATGAGACATAGAATTGAATAGTTCCTACGGAACATAACAGTTTGCTAACCCCGCAAAGATTTAGACTCCTCTATCAACATAGAAGCTCCTGCTACTTAACCAATAATCAATACTAGAAAAAGTACTAATCTGCAACAGAAAACAAACATATAAATCAGTTTCACCATCCATCGATGAGGAAATAATAGATAATCTTGTTTGTCTAGCCACCAGAAAGAAACAACTAGAATCCTCAGTTTGCCCAGCTACTGGAAAGAAATTGCAAATATCATCTGTTTGACCAGCCACCGAAAAGAAGATCCAATCGAATGCTATGTTTCTCTCACAGCACAACGGTGGTTCAGGAGGAGGGCGAATAATTGAGGTCTTGGAGTCGCCGATGTATGAAATTAACCTCCCGGACAGATCAAGCAGTGTCAACATTGTCATCCACCAACACTAAAATTTCAACGCTCGATCAGTTTCACTGACGAGGATTACACAAACCCTAGACATTGTTAGGAAGAAACCACATACAATAACTTGAAAATATTTATTAAAGTTTTAATTTTCATCTTTAGAAGGAGAAAACTAATATATTATAATACAAATGATGATTTTTTTGTATAATACTCTTTTGTTAGTTTGGAACATCCTGAACCATTGCGAATCATCATGGTCACGATTTAAAAGGCACAAAACTAGAACACAAGCTTGTCATGGACTGTCCCGTATTGTTATTACTAAGAGTTGGGATCGGGATAACTCTAATCCTGCACTGTCCCAACCTGTGCCCACCTCTATATTTTTTAAATAAGGGTGTAAGAAGTTAAATACTACACAGTATTCTGTCATGAAACATATTTAACATGGAAGATGGAGACGTGGATTTGAAAAAAAAAAAGGGATCAATCCATGGAGCATGGAGGTATGTGAAGTTATGTGTGACGCATAGAAAAAAAGACAGGAGAGTAAAGAGAGAGAAATTAATATAGTTGCCAGAAATCAAATCAATTATGAAATATTGAAATGCCACATAACCGGATGAGAAATCTCTTCTTTACATGTGGAACATAAATAGCATCTAACGGTATTTGTTGATTTCTTCTGTTTTTCACTAAACTAGAAAGAAGGATGAAAAATTCGTAAGAGCACATCACCGAAACATTCGTAATTTGTCAAATTTGGTGGTTTGATGTGATCTGGTTTATCGGGTCTAGTCTGAACTGACCTAAGCTAGTCTGGTCTGGTAAATGTCTAGTCTTTATTTATTTTATAACTATGGAAGTCTGGTATGATCTGGTATGAGACTGAAAACAATCCAAAAGAAAACCTCTTAAAACCGTATAAAGATGTAATATATGGAGTATATTTGAATAACTAATAAGGTAATAAGTAAGGTTTGGCGATGATTGTATACTTTCGGATGATAATCTGGGGGCAGAGATGGCTGCCCTGTGATGGTTGCCCGCGAGTAGTGTAAGTTGTTTGATAGAAGAATGTTGAGTTAATTATCAAAATAGGACTAAAAGTCATTCACATTGCACAAATAGGACCAAAAAATAAACTATGTTTGCATAGGACTAATTATGTGTGTCTTGGACAAATATACCCTCATACCTATTGAAATGTTTTAATTCATAATAAAATAATAAAAAATAATAAAAATTCGTAAAATATACCAAAAAATGAATAAAAATATTTTGAATAATAATAAATTTTAAAAAAAATTAAAAAAATAAAATGCCAAATTTATTATGAATTCCATATTTTTGGCATAATTCAGAATGATTTAAGATGGCAGGAAAAAAATGTTGGCATTGTCAAAGAAAAATATGCCATATTTTTGGCATTTTCCGAAAAAAATGGAAGTTTGTAGGAAATATGACATTTTTTTAATGGTCGGAGGTGGTGGTGCAGGGAGGCGGTACCACCACCTCCTGTCACCGGGGTAAAAAATGCCAAAAAATTATGAATGCCATATTTTTGGTAAAAGTCAAAAGGATTCAAGTTGGCAGAATGAAAATGTTGGCATTCTCATAGAGAAATATGCCATTTTTGTGGAATTTAAAAAAAAAAGTGGCATTTTTTAAACCGATCCGAGGTGGTGCAGTGGTTCAGGGAGGTAGTACAGGCGGTGGGAAAGGTATCCATATTTTTTTTAATTTTTTTTATGAAGTTTTACTATTTTTTATTAATTTTCAAAAAAATTAAAAAAAATTTTATAAAAATTTTATTAATTTTTTTTTTATTTTTCTACGAATTATTGAAATTTTTTCAGATTTATTATGAATTAAACATTTAATTATGACTTTTAGCTATCTTTTACTAATATTTAAAGGAGGGGTAAGAATGGAAGGAAGAAATGGGTATGTTTCCAATAGGACCACTGTACTATGGTCCTATTTTGGAATAAAAACATAGCAAGTCCTATTTTGAGTTTTTGCCATAGTTTTAGTCTTATTTGAAGTAATTTCTAAAGAATGTTATATTGTTAGTAATTTAATAATTTAATACTTAGACCCTCTGGTAACAATGAAATTGGGTTAATTGGCTGAAATTGTGTAAATTTGGGTTGAAGTTGCTAGATAAGCTACATCTGTTGAATTATTAAAATATTTAATATATACTCCTATGCAATAACTTAAGTCAATTTAATTGAAAGAGTATTTCTAATCTTACTTATTTTGATTACTCCATAATTCAGCTCATTAAATTAAATAGTTGCGTATTTGGTGAAAATATAAAGTTGACTGATAAGTTAAAAAATAATGGCTACCAAACAAGCTCTTCTTGTCTAGTCCTATTTTTTGGGTACGTATTACTCCGTATTTAAGTAAGAATGACATGTTTTTCTCCATTTTCTGGCGGACCATCTCGTATTATCTTTTTTTTCTCGTATTATCTTATAGAGATCTCTATCTTATATATGAACAAATTGGCCTGGAAACAATTTATCATTCTTTTGTTTTGGTGAATGCTGAATAAGATAGAACTATATATAGAACCACCCATCACCCCTCTATTATATTACTCCGTATAATTCTAAATTTGACCAAAAACTAAGATAATGTTTATCCTATAGTAATAACATGTAGGGCTTTACGTACGCATCAAATGCATAAATGGTACCTTAACTATCGGTAGTGTTGTATTTTGGTACCTTAATTCTTAAATGAATCAAAACCGTACCTAGCTTAACTATACATAAATGTTTCGAATTTGGATTTTATTCATTTTTTTGACTAAAAAAATCCTTCATGATGATCAAAATTTCATTAATAGAGTCATCCTATAGTGACCATATGGACAAAAATAAGGTGAAATAGACTATGCATAGAATTATGGCTGCCACGTGAGATTTTTTGGTCGAAAATTTGAATGAAATCTCAATTCGAAACATTTATGTATAGTTAAGGTACCATTTTGATTCATTTTAAAATTAAGGTACCAAAATGCAATATTACCAATAGATGATGTACCATTTAGGCATTTGCCCCAGGGCTTTACCCTGCAAATAATCCGATAATATGTTGAAAGCAAGAGGTGACAAAAAATAGTAACCAACCCAGCACCCAACCAACAGGGTCTCTGTGATATCATTATTATTCAATGCATTCGTCTTCTTCTCATATATAGAATGTATCTTATTCTATAAATACCTAGCGTATATTCAACTATTTGCAATACAACACATTTAGAAATATATAGCAAAAGATATGATGAAGTTGAACTCTCTTTGCGTTTTTGTGTTTGCTCTCTTTCTTGTCATCTCAGCCTTCGCCGCTGATACATCTCAAGATGAGAACAAGGGTATGTATGTTATAAATAATTCTTTGCTTCAATTCCATTGAGACATCTTTGCTTTTTTACCTGTTTTCATGAAATTGGATATTCTCATCTCGTTTGATATTTGGGCAGAAAATTTAAGAAGTTAAAACATCGTCTTTAGACTTTAAAAAGTATGTCCGGAAATAGATGCTCTAAGGAGCCTTAGACCCAACCGGACGAAAGAGTAACTAACCTTTTGTCCGGTCGCTTCTTTGGACATGGGCGAGGGATTTTGCCTTGACTGAGATGGGTATGATCAAATATGCTAAGGGATGGATTCATGAATGTTCGAATGGGTTGGAAACCAATTATACTAGATTTAAATATTAGTCGAGGTGAGCTAAATATGAAAAATGAAAAAAAGTTACAAAAAAATAGAAAAACAAATTATGTTATGGCTTCAGCAGTTCAGCTTACCATAACCCATACATATATCCTCCGAATATGTTGTTACATGAATGTACTTGGTATTGACCTAGTACGTGTGAACTAAATTGCAGAATTTGTAAATTCCAAAGCCAACCAAAGGACAGTGGAACCGGAAGGCTACGGCTATGGATCTGGCGGGAATGGCGGGTATGGCTACGGTTGGGGCGGAAAAGGTGGACGCGGTGGTGGGGGAGGACGTGGCGGTGGAGGTGGTGGTTGGAGCGGCGGCGGCGGCGGATGTAAGTATGGTTGTTGTGGACACGGATATGGAGGGGGGTGCAAGTGTTGCCACAACGCTGAAGAAGCAGCATCTTACCTGAAGATGATTCAAGAAGCCCAGCCTTGAGCACTATATTCCTAGTGTTATGTTTATCAAATACGTAGTACATTTAGAATAAACTGTGTTGTTGCATGTAAGCTACAACCCTTGTAGCTCTAATAGGAATATTCAGAATAACACGGAGTAATAATAATAATGGTTTACATGCTTATTGCTTAAGTTTTAATCGATATGTACGTTACGTTGTGCATATAACATACCGGAAATAATGAGACTACTCCTAGTACCTCCGTTCCCCTATTATTATTATATTGTCTCATTCCAATTTATGATGTTTGATCGACAATAAAGCAAACAGATCCTTGTCCGCACTCAAATTATTGTCAGGAAAAAAATTATGTACTAGTGGTACTACGTATTAAACAACTACATTAAAAGCTTTACAAAATCGCAAAAAATATAATCAAATTTAATAAAAATTTGATATACTAATACTCCGTATAAAGTAAGAGATTAAGAGTGATTCGTGTTGACAAAGTGAATAGGAACTAAAAAATAATAGGGGAATGGAGGGAGTATTATAAAGGAGTATTTGCATATCTAGCCAGATGTATTATGTATTTATGTACATGTTTCAAGAAATTTATAATGAGCGGATGTAACATATCAAAAGCATCTCAACATGCATATGATAACAAGGTAATTGAAGAAATAATATTTAATACTCCGAATATTGATTATGAATGGGTTGCCTTACATTCGTAGTGCGTGAGTATATCGATTACTTTTTGGGGAAATAACCGACGTTATAGCCCCATATAGTCAACAAGGTTGTTCTTAGAAAAAGTGATTTTTAACGTGATTTTGGAAAAAAAGTGTTTAATAGTAAAAGTTGGTATAGTGTTTGAGAAAAAAGTGTTTTTAAAAAGTAAAAGTGGGTAGTGTTTGATAAACTTAGTGTTTTTTGTCTAATAAAAAAAGTGAAAAACAGTTTAAAACACCTTTCTATCAACTTCCAGCTTTTAACTTTAAAGTGTTTTTTTAAAGTAGAAGTAGGCATTAGCAAACATTTTCAGCTTATTTTAAGTTAAAAGCTAAGAAATGTTTATTTTATGTAATAGCAAACACTCCTTTAACAAGGTAACACTTAACATAAATGTAATATGCCGTATGATATGCAATGCTAATAATAATAAAATTAGTGTAATGCTCGTAGCATGTTCCCGTAGTGTCATGCCCGAGCTCCTCTGCGTCTCCGCCTTGCTAACACTCATATCAACACACAAACATTACTCCCACGCTACATAGTATATGGTCGAAGACAATGAAATTAATTAGAGGAGTAAATTACGACATGGTGTGTGGAGGGGCGGATCTAACATTAGTATTCAGGTGGGGCCAAAATTTAATAAAATACATGAGATAATTATCCCAGACATGACTAAAACTCAATGAGTTTCTCAATCTATGACCTAACTAGTTTTTTTCTCAAAATAATATTAATATTTATAATATTTAATTAAAATTCGGAATTAATAAATAATAAATATTTTTTATGGACAAATATACCCTTTAATTTATACCTATAAAACTCTAACCCTAGCCACAGCCTCCCACCGTCCACCCACGCAGCAGCCCCACCGTCCGACCGCCATCCACCGTCTAGCATCGCCCATCGTCCAGCGCCACCTCCTTCCAAGTACTCTGGCCTGGGAGCACAGTCGGCGATCCAGAACCCCGGACTGGGGCAAGTGCCCTGATACAAGTCAGGTTATCTATCTAGAAAATGGAGAATTCAGATAACGAGAACATGTATAACAAGCTTCAGAATTAGGGATTGGGAGAGATGATAAGCGATGATGGAGAAGATGATTATTATTCTCATTATTTTCAACTGAATTGTACAAAGCAGTATATAAACTGATCGTAATCAGAAGCTAGCTAACTAACAACAAACTCCTAACCAACTTGTTACAGCTCATCAATCTAATCGGATTATTTACAAACTGACATGGCTAACTAAGCTGGCAGGCTGACATGGTTAGCTGAGCTGGCATATACAGCTACTAACTGTATCAAATACTCCCTCCTTCAGAACTGACTTGTCCTCAAGTCACAGTTTTGTAAAAGTCTGGGTATACTGCCTTGATATAATCAGACCATTCCCATGTTGCATCTTCAGTTCTCTGACCTTCCCATTGAATCAAAAACTTCACCCTGGGTGCATTACCATGCTTGACAAGCTGCCTTTCCAACAAAGCAATCGGTTTTACAGTTGACTCATTGGATCTTCCATGTAACCATAGAGGTATATGAGGCTTATCTGGCAAGTGTCCTTTAAATTCTTTCAGCTGAGATACATGAAATGTATTATGTATCTTAGCCTCCTCTGGTAGTACCAATTGATAAGCTACCTTTCCAACCATCTTACCCACTTGGAATGGCCCATAATATTTAGGAGAAAGCTTATCATTTGTTCTCTGTTCAACTGACTGCTGTCTATAAGACTGAAGTTTTAACCAAACCCAATCTCCTACTTTAAACTGTCTTTCAGATCTATGTTTGTCTGCCTGCATCTTCATTCTATTTTGTGCCTGACTCAGATGAGATTTTAACACCCTAATCATGTCCTCACTTTGCTGCATTGATCTATCTACTGCAGCAACCTTAGTTTCTCCAGGTAAATAGGGTAGATGCAGGGGTGGAGGTTGGTTGTAAACTGCCTCATAAGGTGTCATCTGAATAGAGGAGTGAAAAGAAGTGTTGTACCACCATTCAGCTAGAGGTACCCACTTACACCATTCTTGTGGTCTTGCACTGCACATGCACCTGAGATAGTTTTCAAGACACCGATTTACTACTTCTGTCTGCCCATCAGTTTGTGGGTGAAATGAAGTAGATAATAGCAGATCTACCCCCTGAATACTGAAAAGAGCAGTCCAAAAATTACTGAGGAAGATAGATCCTCTATCACTCACAATTGTTCTTGGCCAACCATGCAATTTGAACACATTATCCAAATAAGCTTGTGCTACTTCCACTGCTGAAAATGGATGCTTCAAAGTTATAAAATGAGCATATTTGCTCAATCTATCCACAACTACAAAAATTACATCCCTTCCACAAGATTTAGGTAATCCCTCAATAAAGTCCATAGACACATCCATCCAAACATCTTTAGGAATAGGTAAAGGCTGCAGTTTACCGGGGTAGGCAGCATTATCATACTTGCATGCTTGGCAGACCACACAAGCTCTTATGAAAGCTTGGACAAATTTATTAAGGCCTCTCCAATGGAATAGCTGATGAATCCTTTGTACAGTTGCATCTCTCCCTGAGTGACCTCCCATAGCAGAGGTATGTGCCCATTGCAGTATCTTTTCTTTCACCTTATCATCATTCCCTACCAGAATTTTACCTTTCTTCCTGATCAAACCATTCTCTATGTTATAGGTATCATCTTTCTGAGCAATACTCCCGTTCAACTTAGCAATCAGTTGTTGTATCCATACGTCTTCTTCATAACTCTTTTTAATCCAATTTATTAGATCTGAGTTAATGGAGGACAATGCTAAACACAATAATTCAGCTCCACTTACTCTAGACAAAGCATCAGCCACCTTGTTTTCCACTCCACTTTTATATTGGATTTCATATCTAAAACCCATCAGCTTAGATAGCCAAAACTGCTGGAAAGGGGTGGAAAGTTTCTGCTCTAACAGCCACTTCAAACTCTTCTGATCTGTTTTGATAATAAATGATTGACCAAAGAGATATTGTTCCCATTTTTGTACTGCAAATACCAATGCTAATAGTTCCTTTTCATATACTGATAACTTCTGCCATCTAGTACCCAAAGATCTGCTGATGAAGGCCAATGGGTGTCCCTCTTGCATTAAAACTGCTCATATCCCTTGATTAGATGCATCTGTCTCTACCACAAACTGCTTCTCAAAGTCAGGTAAAGCTAGCACTGGTGCAGTAGTTAAAGCTCTCTTTAAGTTCTCTAATGCATTGGTGGCTTCAATATTCCACTGAAAAGATCCTTTCTTCAACAAATCTGTGAGTGGTTTGGCTAATATAGCATATCCCCTGATGAATTTCCTGTAGTAACCTGCTAATCCTAGAAAGCTTCTGAGTTGCTTGAGATTATTAGGAACAGGCCAGTTCATAATTGACTCAATCTTCCTAGGATCAGTTTCAACTCCTTGACCAGAAATGTAGTGCCCCAGATATTCTACTTTTCTGAATCCAAATGCACATTTATTCATTTTAGCCAACAGTTTATTTTGCCTCAACACCTCAAATACCTGTTGCAAATGAATTTTATGTGTTCCCAGGTCTGCACTATAAACCAATATGTCATCAAAGAAAATCAACACAAATTTTCTTAGAAACTCTTTGAAAATATGGTTCATAAATGCTTGAAATGTTGCAGGGGCATTAGTTAGCCCAAAAGGCATAACTAGAAATTCAAAATGACCATAGTGGGTTTTGAATGCAGTTTTGAATACATCATCTTTATGCACCCTTATTTGGTGATAACCAGCTCTTAAATCAATTTTAGAAAAGATTTTAGCTCCAGCCAACTCATCAATTAATTCATCTATGACTGGAATTGGGAACTTATCTTTAATAGTCTGGTTATTCAGTGCTCTATAGTCAATACACAGCCTCCAATCCCCATCTTTCCTTCCTACCAAGACAACTGGTGAAGCATACGGTGATGCACTAGGTTGAATGACAGCTTTCTCCAATAGTTCCCTGACTTTCTCCTCAATGATATCTTTTTGCTTCAAAGGATATCTGTAGGGCCTTACATTCACTGGCTGAGACCCCTCTTTTACAGGGATCCTGTGATCAAATATCCCTCTACTAGGTGGTAACCCTTGGGGTTCTTCAAAGATATCCTCATATTGCAAAATCAATGATTGCAAACATTCTGGGGTTATGTGTGCATCTGAATCATGAGTTACTTTTATACCAAAAGGTGTTTCTTCTTGTTCAACCTCTTCAGTAGCTAAATGATTCTGGTTCTGAATCAAATACAATTGATTAACTTGGCTAAGCTGTTTTTTGGTACCTTGCATTGTTTTCAAGTTACCCAACTTCTGCCCCCTTAAAACCACCTGTTGGCCATGATACCTAAACTTCATATAGAGCTCTTGGAAATTCCAGTTGA